TATCCATCTTTGTTGTAAAGCGAGAACAGGAAAGCTTTACTGGCTGAGGACCAACTGCAAGAACCTGAAAAGAGAACAAAAGTTTAACAATTCTAAGCATTTCGGTTGAAAAGAAAAACAGAAATAAAGCTACAATATATTATAAAGTAATCTTTAGAACAGAAGAAACAACAACAAAAATAAAAACAAATAAATAGGAAGCGAAAGGATCGAATCAGTTGGCAAGGGTTTTAAGCGTAGTATACCTTGGTGAAGCGTGAATTTTCAAATGCATGAAATGGGCTCGCGACGTTCTAGGTGGAAACTCTTTCTATAGTCGAAAAAATGTTTTAGTTGGAGCAAGACGGATAAGCAAGGAAGACGTCTGGAGACTGACTTAGAGAGATCATCTTTCTGCAAGCTTTTGGTGTTTTACAACAGGACATCTTATGGAAAAGATTCCTAACTCTGATTCAGGACTCAGATTTAGTAGAATATGATGTATTTAAGTTTCGTTCTGTCACCATTATTGCCGGTTAAACATTGTCTTATTTGTACGGCCGCGTCCGCATCATTTCGATGCGGTTACTCCTTCCGTTTACACGGCGACGATGGAATGATGGAAAGATGCCAAAAAGGCGGACAAATCGTTTTCGTGTAAAAGCTTCGAAACCGTATACTTTTAGATATGGTTTTGAAAGGATATAACCGTGTCGATTTGAAACCGCGGTTGTGTAGACGTAGCCTAAGTTTAGCAATGCAATTGCTGCGCACGTGCGTTATAAATCTTGGAACATTTCTTTGCCATTCTCTGCAAAATAAGAACGTGAAATGACCAAATCAGGGTAGTCTGGAGAACGCGTACGTGAACCACACAGCCACATGAGTTTTCAAATTTCTTGTTCGAAATTAACGCTACCTCACAGAATTATTCAGTTTTGAGATAGTTCTGCCAGTGAGAGACAACCTTAAGTAAAACAAAGTTAACCCGAGTTTCGTAGGTAAGATGTAAATTCGTTTTTGAATCGACAGTTCGAGGCCGTGCTGCTATGGTTGCTAAAACTCGCTATTTGAACTCGCTACGCTAGCTTTCAGAAGAGAATGAAAGTGCTACGGTAAGTCCTCGCCATTTCCTCAAGGTAAGGTAAGTTCAATTAAGTTAGTTGTCTACATGTTTTTAGACACGTTAATAAAGTTCGGTCGTTCGTTTGTTCGCTCAGTCAGTCCTCTGGATGCGCAGACCAGAGCAGACTGGTAAGATAGTAATTAGAACGTTACTTGACTTGACCTTTCCCTAAGTGTCCCTAAATTTGTTAACTTCCAAATGCCGTCTAATATCCAGAAAGAAAAATTCCAGAAAATTGAGAAAAACCAAGTGAATCGTTCTTAATTTTTACTTCTTTTGTATCTCAATCTCGAATGACNGATCGATTTACTCATTCTGAATTGAGCCACTCTAGCTTGGGAACTTTTCGTCGCCTAATTGAAACCGAAACATTTTGCCCAAGACGAAAAGCGAGTCTGCTTTACATGAGTCAGCGCCGCTACATCGGGTTCTCGCAGCCCTACGCGGGGGTGTGGAAGACCAATTACGGTACTTTTAGCTGCAAATGAGATCGAAGCGACTCTGCTCGCCGCAGGGTAGCTGCGAAAGATCTTCAGAAAAATCGAGGATTTTCCTTATGAACTAAGCCAACGGATGCGATTTGAGGTCGATTATGCGAAACAGCAAGGTCGCGCAACATCAAAAACCGTGTTAATATCGGTTCCCAAACTGAAATACGAATATGAACAGGTATTTCTTAAACAAGAAAAGAGTAAGACCAATGGTTAAACAAAAGTTAAAATTGAGGGGATTTTTTGGCTCTATTACAAGATAATAGAGCAAGTTTTTATCAAGCTTCTGGTGATAGTTAGGTCTTATGATACTTACTATGCCAAGACACGTCAGTGTATCCACCAAATATGTATTGGCCAACTCTAATGATGGTCACTGTGGGTCCCT